CCTGTATAAACTTTCAGTGAATGGAGTTTTAAAGCTCTGTTTGTAAAACTTCCCAATCTGGAACATACATCCATGTTTATCTTTTGTGGTATGGCAGTATGCTCTAGCTGCTGGATGTCAGCATGGAGTTCTGTTGTGAATGGTACTAGTGTTAATAATCATATAGTTGCAGGCAACTTGTCAAGATACTCACTTTACAGAACTATTATTTAAAAAATTTGCCCAGTACAGAATATTGGATAAAGCTACAGGTCTACTCATATCAGCTTCAGATGTTCAAAATTCAAAATAATGCTCATAAATATTTCTTGCTCATTTTATATCAAATTCTGAAAAAAAAATCACAAGGATTGTTTTGAATGATGAAAGGAGAGCAAAAATTCAGAAATAAACAATCTTGACATTCATGTAGTATTTTCTGTGTGTTATGTAACAAAAGTGATTTCCAGAGTTTTCTGGAATCTTTATGAAAAAGAAAGCTTAAAAACTGGGAAGGGAAAAAGCGTCAGAAGGGAAAGAAGGGAAAACGTCACTTTATAGCCTTTGGAACCTTTTATCTAAAAACATGCCAGAGATCTTATTTTAGCTTCCTTCTTGCACTGAACTGCAGTTTTTCAGTGTGTGGGATGATAAGGTTTTTCACTGTGTGTGGGGAGAAAAGATGGATTCAGGGTGTTGATTTATAAACCTACATGCTATGCATGCCTCTCTTGCAGCAGTTTTAGACCCACTTTTGATCCAGAAAGGAAGAGAGATTAAAACACCACTAATTTTTTTTTTTCAGGTCTTGATGCTCTCTCTTTTACTTTCCATGAGCTTTCCCAGTCAGGTCTATTTGTATATATAAGTATAAAAGTGGTAAGCCTAGATAACATGTCAGTCTTACCTTACTGTGTTTAGAACAAAACTAGCAAGTATTTTATACATGAAAGGACTTACAGATCTCATCCTAGTATGAAAATTACAAGATTATGGATGGAATACAAAGGTCTAATAGAACATAAATCTAAGAGAAATGCATATCATTATGTTTGAACTACAGTAAAAATTTAGACAGTATAAAATCCTTCCAGTCATACCCTATAGGGCACTGCAGATAGACAGATACTCATCACTCATGTGTTCAGTAGAGATCCAAAAATACAAATGTGAAGGCCCCAAAGAATTTTTCAGACCATTCACTTTATATCACGAAGTATAAGTTATAAAATTATAATCCTTATAGAGCTCTTACCAGCCAGTTTCTCACAAACACCCATTTGCCATTAGAAGAATTGAACACTAATGTTGTGACCTCTTTTTCAAAGAAACAATTAGAAAAACCTAATAGCTCTAGTTCTTTTTTGACATTTAACTAGAGAGCCACCCTTTTGTGCAGAACACACTGACTTACAACAACAATTACTTACAGGTTTTCTGACATCTGGCAGGGTAGCCCACAGTGGAAAAACAATGGGCAACACAAGAAGATAGGTGACCTGCTTGCGTGGGGTTTCAGGCCAGGCCAGGCTGAGAGGCTGCTCCTCCTCATCCTCTTCGCTCTGTAAGAAAAGCTCCAGTGAGCAGATTATCAAAGTGGATGAATGAAATTGGGGATTCTTTCAAAAGGAATTGAATGACAGCATTTCAGGGAGAACTATGACATCTGAAAACATTGCATTAACACTACACCTACATAACAATGTTAGCCAGGACACACCAAAAAAGACTTTGGCCTGACTACAAGGTATCCCTACAGCACAGGCTGCCTGAGGATGTCCATTTGTTGACAATATGGGTGGTGCCTTGGGATGCACAGGGTGTCTCTCACAAGTGTTCCTATGACTCTGTCTTGGCATGTGGGCTAGTCTAGTCAGGGGTTAAGACTTGTCTGGGCTGCATCAAGCCTGGCCACACAGACAAGAGACAGAGAACATGTGCAGAGATGTGCCAGTGTGTGCACACAGACACACACGCCCACATCTTTATGCGTGCATATAGAGGTATACGCATATCTAACTTCTTAAGCTTTTGCAAGTAACTTGAAACCTTACTATTAAATATCTATGCATACATATGTTGGTATATATGGTCTTCTCCACAGGAAGATAAGGTAATTCAGGCACTGTGAAGCTCTAGTGCTAAGCTGCTGGGGTAAGACTGGGCTCTGCCCATTCAAACTGTGAAAACAATAAGGACGGAGATGGCCCAACAAGGACAGCCCAGGGATGGCCCAGCTTTTCTGGGCCCCAGCACTGTTGCCAGATTGTCCACATAAGGGAAGGGCTTCTCCTTGTGTCTACTGTGTTCAGACCAGTCACAACTGCAAGTGTTCCTAACAGCTTGGTGCTAAAACTGAAGACACTCTTCTCCAATTTGTGTCACTGATTTTCACATCAGTCCCTAGTCTCCATTTATGTGCTGCCCACCTGTCATCCCTGCTATAGAGTAGGCGTATAGGAACCCCCTCCTATGACAGCAAACATTTGGCTTCCACACACTTCTATTTCCTTAGACTGCTTCTGCTAACAAAATGGAGCAAGTATAGTGGGCATGACTCAGTCCTTTGCATACAGGTATGAAAATAACTTTTAAATTGTTACCATAGGTAGGTGATGTCTCCAGAACTAAACATAAATTACAGAATCAGACAACTGAAAAAATGGCCTGAATAATACTTTTACATAGATGTGTATAAGGCAACAGCTGTTGAAACTTGGAAAGATTTCTAGAGAGCATAATGAAAGCTAAAAAAGTCTGAAAAAAGAGCACCCAGTGAAAACTGTTTGACCTAGTGAATCATATATGATGTCTTCTTCAGACAGTGTTTTTGGGTTTTATTTTTGGAAAAAAATATAATAATTAAGACATCTCCACAATATGCATATTATTCCTCCTATAGATTTATAACTGGTTTCTTTTCAGTTATTGTCCTGTATTAAGATTGCTTACATAAACCTTATGACAATGCTATATAAAGCATTCATTTAAACAGCAGTTGTTCTTTTCTAAGCAAAAGAGTTATTAATGAAATGTCACCATATGTTGATAATGTTAATAACGTTCTATTTACTGCTAATTTTGAAGAACTAGTCTTGATTATTCCACTATTGTGAATTTCTGAATTATTTAACTACCTGAACTGATCAGTACTTACAAAAGCAAACTCAACTCTTAGCTTGGGAAGAAGGTATCACCTGACATCAATGGAATGGAAAAAAATTCCTATTTACCTCTTGACACACTGACAAGTTTCAGCTACTTTTGGGTTGCGTGTTAATGTTAACAGAGGACAATATTTTGCTAACCCCTATACTTTGTGAAACTCCCAAGTTGCACAGCTGTATGAAAACAGTAAAGTGAAGATGTCATAATGGTTATAATAATTAAAAACATTTAAAAATATATAGCCACAATTTGTAGCACTCAACACAGTACTTCAGAGGCTCTTGAGCCGCTTAAGAGGCTAGCTTTTTCCTTTAGCTTTCAGCTCTTCACTGAAATATACTTCATTGCTGGAAATCTACTGAAGCCTGATTTTAGAGGAACTGTGCTGGAGGAGAAGTTTATGAGGGTACTTCCCAAACCCAAATCCATTCTTTTTCCATTCTGGTAGATGCTTTTGCGGTGGGAAAAATCAGCCTGAGACACAGGCTCAGCTTTGAAATATGATGACTGAGATAAAATTTGAACACAAAAGGACCAATTGAAGGGTTGCCTAGGTAACTCTTTCTGAATGGCCACTGTGTAATTTAATCAGCCAACTCAGCTGGAATAAAGCTTTCTAAGTTACTGCTGCATAAACAGCGCTGAGGCAAAGTACTTCCTGAATTGCCATCTTTAGAGATTAGCCATGATTAACAATTATATTTAATCACAACAAAACTTTACATTAGTCTGAGTTTGCACATGAATCTTAAAAATATCTAGACAGTAATGCGTATGTTGGTTCCTGCAATACTGTACCAGTACACACTCTAGCTCAACATGAGGCCTTGTTCTATTTCATATCTGCATCAAACACCTCTGGGTGTGCATGAGCACAGAGGCAACATGAGTGGCTGTAGCAAAGAACCATAAATAATTGCTTTTGGAGATTGCCAGATGTCTCCTGAGAAACCTTAATCTATCTGTTCCAGATCTTTTCTCCTTCCTGTTGTCTTACATCATCCCTTTCCCCAAGACAGCTATCCCCTAAATATAAGGTCAAACACAGAGTGCAGGCAAACACTTTTTCTTGCTAGTTTAACTCCAGAATACATTACAGATGTTGCAGAATGGATCATGGATCGTCTTTTCCTATTTTGTAAATTGGATTTAGCATCTGATTTTCAATGCTGGCCTTCCAAAAATCAGTGGAAGTAATGAAGTTTAAAGTATTTGTAGATCTAGCTTCCATGAATTTCAAAGCAATACTAAATTATCCAGTGATGCTGAAGAAAATAATGGGAAATCATTTCAGCAGCCCTAAAACCACACAAATGAGAGTGTCATGCTGTGGACTAAGCGGCAGTGACAGAAAATGACTCAGCACAGATTTATGGCAGAGATTCCATGCACTGTCTGTGGCTCCAGCTGCGTACATACTGAATATGCACTATCACAGTTTGTAGAAACTAATTCTGAAAATATAGTTTTATTTCAGTCTCTTCTTTTTCCATAGAAAAATCTGTACTTGCAATGTTCAGTATGATTTTATTCTGCAACACTAAGAAGAAAAGGCAATCATAACATGATATATACCCAGGAATTCAATTGCGTAAACACATTGGATGGTACCATTTTAAGATACTTTCTGGTATCTGCCTTGACCTCCACATGCTCTAACAGAAGTGAAGAATATTCTGCTCTCTTTATGATACAATGCCACTGCTGTGAAAAGATCTCAGTTTCTTTAGGGCAGCTGAAGTGCTACTACCTACCCATCTCCACTCCAAAACTCATTCCTTGCTATGACTCAGCAGCTAATTAACTTCAACAGTACTGGACTGGGTATATGGGACATCTGCATCACCTGATATGATGAACTCTGATGAGAACCCATTAGAAAGAAATTGCCACATTAAGTCAAAACAAAAGCCAGTTTACACTAGTACCTTGCAATGGTCAGACACTGGCATTCAGAGACTAAGTATTGGAATATGGCATATTTTTTCATCTACCACAAATTCATAGAAGCATAGCAATATTTAAGCTGGAAAAGACACTTTAGATCATCAAGTCCAACCATAAGCCTAACACTTCCAGCTCCATCACTAAATCACATCCCCAAGCACCATACCTACCCAAATTCTAAATATTTCTATGAATGGTGACTTTTATGCTTGATAATTGATCCAATTCTTGATAACCCTTCACATGAAGAAACTTTTGTAATATCTGATCTAACCGACTCTGACACATCTTGAGGTAACTTCCTCTTGTCCTGTCACTTGCTACTTGGGACAAAAGGCTGACCCCTACCTGGCTACACCCTCCTGTCAGCCAGCTGTAGAGAGCAATAAGGTCTCTGTTAAGACCTTTTCTCCAGGCTGAAACACCCACCTCCCTCAACTGCTTCCTGCAGGACTTGTGCTCCAGATCCATCACCAGCTCCATTGTCCTTCTTGGACACACTCCAGCAATTCAATGTCTTTCTCGTAGTGAGGGGCACAAAAGTGAACACAGGAATTGCGATGTGGCCTTACCAGTGCCAGGGGTATAGTGGAAAAATCACTGCCCTGGTCCTCCTGGATGCACTATACAAGCCAGAATGCCACTGGACTTCTTGGCCACCTGGGCACATAGTTGGCATGTGATTAATTGCTGTAGGCCAGCACAGAATCACAGAACCATAGAATAGTCAGGAAGAGACCTCTGGAGATCTAGACTAAATGACCCCCAGGTCCTTTCTCGTCATGAAGTTTTTCATTCCCCAGCCTGTAGCATTGTTGCATGAGGTTGTTGTGACCCAATGGCAGCCCACAGCATTTGGCCTTACTGAACCTCATACCACTGGCCTTAGCCCATGCATCCAGCCTATCTGACCCCTCTGAAAAGCCTTCCTACCTTCCAGAAGATCAACACTCCAACCCAACTAGCATCATCTGCAAAATGACAGGGTGTACTTGATCCCCTCATCCAAATTATCAATAAAGACATTAAGCAGGACTAGCCCCAGTAGAGAGTCCTGAAGAATACCACCAGTGACTGACAGCTGGATTTACCTTCATTCACCACCACTCTTTGAGCTCTGCCATCCACTACTGAGTAGTGGAGAACTGCCATCACGCAGTCCACCCATCCACACCATGGAAAACTATGTGGGAAATGGTGTCAAATGCTTTACTAAGGTCCAGGTAGACAACATCCATAGCCTGTCCCACATTTACTACATGAGTCAATTCGTCATAGAAGGAGACCAGATTGATCAAGCAAGACCTGTGTTTAACAAACCCAGGCTGGCGGGGCACGACCCCTTTGATGGGGGGGTCACACATGCTGTGTGATGGCACTCAGGGTGATCTGCTTCATGACCATCCCTGGCATCAAGGTCAGACTGACAGGCCTGTAGTTCTCTAGA